GACGACCTCTGAACCACCACAGCACCACACCACATCCACAGGGGGGGGGAGGGGGGCACCGCAGCGCAGCACCACGCCACGCCCACCTCTGAACCACCGCAGCCTCACACCACATCCACGGGGGGGGGGCACCGCAGCGCAGCACCACGCCACGCCCACAGGGCGGGGCGGGGGGGACCATCGCGCGGGGGGGGGGGCCCAATGGCATCAGCATTGGGGGGGGGGGGCCCAAGCCCTGGACCATATATTTGTGTGTCCCAGGGCCCTTTCACTATAGCCCTACCAAACAATGTTCTAAGAACCTTTTGTGGTGCCCACGAAGTGTTCTCAGAACATCTCTGGCGGAGCCTGTCTTGTCTTATCACATTGGGTCTAAATGTTCCAAGAACATTGCTTTTGTTCTTGGACCATTCCTGGGTTCTGAGAACATGGCGCGGTAGGGCTATAGGAATGCCGGGACGGTCGGTCCCTTTCTCAAGGGAGGGGGGGTTCGGGGTGCGGGTCGGGCGGACTTTGCGGCCCTTCCGGGGGGGTCCTTCCCCTCGGTGTCGTTTTAACCCATCCCCACCCCCACCCCCACCCCCATCCCCACCCCCACCGCCATCCCCATCCCCATCCCCGTCCCCTTCGAGAGGCCCCCGCAAGAAATGACCACTCCCGTTGGGGACGCACCCCTCGAAGCCCGAAGGGAGCGACCTATATATCCCCATCTGGGGGGGGGGGTAAGTCGGCCAGTGGGGCCCAGGCCTCGGGGGCGGCAAAGAGGGGGGTGGATATCATTCAGGAGGAAAAGAAACACACAGACACAATTCATCGTCGATTCCCCAGAGACTACGGGAAAATATTGGAAAATATGGGGGGGGGAAGACAGAAACCCAGAACATATGGGAAAGTATAAGGACACCTCTTGTTTGTGTGTATTTATTTGTGTGTCCCAGGGCCCCTTTCAATCATGGCGTGGGCCATGCTATCCCCCCAGATTTCACGGCGCCGCTTCTTATGGCATTACGTACGTCCCTGGCCCCCCCCGCCGGGCCGCGCACCATGCCGCGGGTCATGGTTTGCACCCCCCTCCCTCTCTTGGACACCCCCCTCTTGGCCGCTCCCGAGGGGGGGGGGGCGGCTCTCGGAGGAGAAGAAGCGCCATGCATCAAGGGCGCAGGAGCGCCCCTACCCTGGGTTAGGAGGCGCCGTGCGCTGAGCCTCCTGCGGGCTAGCAGGGTAGACCCTGCGTGATGCGCCCTCTCTGGGCTTTGGGAGGTCCCCGGAGGTTTACAGACCACGAACTTCATCCCAAGGCATTAGGGTCGTCTTCTTCATCCCTCAGTGTACATCGACTCTTGTGCGCTCCGCGCGGACTTCGCAGATCTGCGTTTGGGCTCCTTGGCGGCGCCTCCGGCGCCCCCTCCCTGGCGCGCTCCGCGCGCCAGGGAGGGGGGCCCAGCGCAGATCCCAGACATCCGCGCGGAGCGCCAACAGCTCCTGCCGATTGCGCTCATTTGTGCGCCTAGGCTCGGAGGAGGGCAGTGCACCGGTGCCGCTGCCCTCTCGTGGCGCGAAGGCTCGGGTGTCGCCAGACGTGCCCCTGGCCCAAGGTGCCCCCAGGAGTTCCAAGGAGGCCACCACGGCCTCCAGAGCGCCCCTCGCGAGGCCCGAGCGGGGGTAACATCCGGCAGCCCCCGAAGAGTCGGGGGCCCCCAAGCGCGGCGTGGTGACCACACCGTGTGGTGAGTCGATGGGGACTCGGGTCGTGCTCCGAGGATGTCTGGGGCGGCCGGGGGCCCCGAGGCCCCGAAACCGTGCGGTGACGGACCCTGCGGTGGAGTCACTGCCGGGTCTGTCACCACACGGTTTTGGGACCCCCAAGAATGACATATCTTTGGGTCGTTGAGGGCCGGTGTTGGGGGGGCTCCCAGGTCCCAGTCCAATTCAAGCGCCGTCTTGCTTCAAGCATGGATCTGCTTCTGCTGTGCTTGGTTATTCTCAGGGAGGGCCTGAACTCGGTCTACTGTGCCTACTTTTTCCGACCGACGTGTATCCGTATGCGCGGCCTCGCCGGCTGGGCCCCTGGGCCGCGACCCCACGGGTGCGGGGCGTTTTTTCGCGGATGTCTCGCGCGGAAAGTATCCGTGCGGGCCGCGTTTCCGTGGGATTGCGCCCCACGATCCAGACCGCAAAGGCGGATACGTTCGCCGCTCGTGACCCTCACCTCGTTTTCCCCGTTTTGGGGCATCCTTGGAGGCCTTCGTGGCCACCGCTGGACTCGCATCAAGATTCTGGTCAAACCGCACCCCAGGAGGGAGTTCTTGTTATTCCTCGTGTCCTCAGACTGGGTTCTTGTTCCCCATATCCTGAGGATGGGGTTCTTGTTTCCCATATCCTAAGGATGGGGTTATTGGTATTACTTTCGCCGCAAAAGTAGAAACAACCTCCTCCTCCTGTTCCTCCTCCTCCTCACGACTCAGTGCCACTCAGAGCGACACACAGGGTAACTACTCAGGTTATGATATGATGAGGATGATGATGAGGATAACGATTACGACGATGATGATGCTGATGATGATGAGGACCATGATGATGATTTTGATGATGATGATGATGAGGATGATGATGATGATGATGATGATGAGGATGAGGATGAGGATGAGGATGTGAATGAAGATGAGGATGAGGATTATGCTGATGATGAGGACGATGCTGATGCTGATGATGCTGCTGATAGTGGTGATGATGCTGATGATGATGATGTTGATGCTGATGATGCTGATGCTGATGCAGATGCAGATGTTGATGCTGATGCTGATGCTGACGACAGAGCAGATGTTGAGGATGTCTCGGGCGAGGCGCTGGTTTCAGCACCCCCAAGGGAGGCCGCCAGGGGATACCTCGCTCCTCCATTCGCGCCCAGCTTGCGAGGATGTGTCCAGCGGTTGTCCCGTTTCCATGCCCAACATCTTCCGCCTTCGGAGCAGATGTTGGGGATGTCTGGAGCGAGGCGCTGGTTTTCGAACATCCAAGGGGGAGCGCCATGGGGTACCTCCCTCCTCCGTTCACGCCCAGAATGCGGGAATGTCTCGAGCGGTTTGCCTGTTGGCATCTTCCGCTTTCGGAGCAGATGTTGGGAATGTCTCGGGCGAGGCGGCTTTCCAGTTTGCGTGCCCAGCATCCCCTGTTTTCGGATCAGATGTTGAGGGTGTCTCAGGCGTTTTTTTTGTTCCTGCCCCTCCCCATACTGAAGTCGTCATCATCATTGCCGTCTACCGTCTGCGCGGACTCACCCTCACACTCAGATGCTCATAGACAGAGCTACTCGGCGAAACGTGACAGGAGTATATAAGATGCACATCTGAGGATCCCCGCGTAATATACGATACACATCTGATAGAGGAGGGGGGGGGGTTTGCCCGGGGAGGGGAGGGGGGGGGGGGGTCCAGCAGGGGGGGGGGGGGGGGGGCGGAAGGGGGGGGGGACCCCGGGGTTCCGGAGGAAGAGGCGGGGGAATTCTCCACAGTACAGCGGCGGTGGATCACGCTCTCTCATCTGAGGATCCCCGCGTCGAGTAATTCTGTATCCACTCCGGGAGCCCCCGCGGCACACCGCCGGCACCCACACCGCCACCCTGCCTCGTTCTCTTTTTTGGGGGGCCTCCCGGGCAACCGTCGTCGCCACCGCTGGCTTCGCTTCGAGCTTCTGGTACGAACGCTCACCAGGATTTATGATGCTCCAACCTGCATTAGCCTTGATCGCCAGGAAGAATTTCGAGCGCCCAAAAAAGTACCGAAACTCAAGGGCTTTCACGTGTCGGGCCCTGGAAGACACTCTCCCGACGCTGTTTCGACACTGTTTCGACACGCTTTTGACACATTTCCGGGTGCCCGAAGTTACTTTTGGGATGTGGTCTTCAAGTAGGATGGGAACAACATAACCCAGGATAGGTCTGGGGCGAGGGGCCGCAGGGCGTGGAAGCCGGTCGGGAGGATTGAGAAGACCAGCAGCAGTGTTTTCCCATTTTGGGCAGGGCTCGTGGTCGGCGTCGCCGCGGACGCTGTCCATGGAGGCACAAGGCCGCCCGCCCAGCAGCGGCCGGTGTCAGTCTGGGATGTGGCATTGTGCGAATGTGTTCCGTATCAAAAGCGGGTGTCCAAAGTCGGTGCGGGCTGCGGGCGCATGGAAGTCGGGAGGGAAGGAGAGCGATAGTACCACTTGACGAACGAATTACTCACACACGCACCCAGTTTCCACGGACGGTCGAAGGTCGGAGGACTGGCAATCGGAGCGTGGATTATCGGATATGGACATAGTTGCAGGGACAGAAACGTTTTTGGAGTTCCAAACAGATTTCTTGGATCGGGGCTGGACCCCCTTCAATGGCGCGCCGAGCGCGCCAGAGGCGCCGCCAGAGGCGCCGCCAGAGGCGCCGCCAGAGGCGCCGCCAGAGGCGCCGCCAGAGGCGCCGCCAGAGGCGCCGCCAGGGGGTCCAGCTCCGATCCAAGAAATCCGCGCGGAGCTCCAAAAGTTTCTGTTTATGGAGTGTTCTGTTCCTTTTACGGAAGTCGGGAGGGAAAAAGGGATGGAGGATGTTTCGAACAGGGGGGGGGCGCCACCACCTGTCAGACCCCCCCTGGTTCGTCGCGCTGCTGGTGATGGTGTCGCCTCTCGCTGTTCCTATGGAAGGAGGGGGCATCGGACAAAGACTGATTACAATCAAGGCTGTCGTTGACGTCCGGCCGTCGCTTGGGGTTCAGGGAGCTGCACGCCCCCGGGACGCGTTCCAGGGGCCCTGTGTTGTTGCGCTGGCGCTGCTGTTTTGGTGAAGATTATCGAGGGTTTCCACGGTTCGGTCGGTGCGGTTGCGTCGCATCCTGCTGCATTCGGTCGGCTCGATTCGGTATGTCGTGGTGTTGTTGCTGCATCGATGCGCCCTGCTAGGCTGCTTGCGGCCTGTCCAATGTCCGTTTCGGTCGGCTTTGTTTTCCGTTGTCGATTCAGCCGGTGTTTCGATTTTGTTGTCGCCGTGGGCGTCTATGGACGATGGGAGTGACACTTGTTGGCGAACAAAACGTTTCCCAGGCTCAATGCAACAAAACACGCTGCTGCAAGTGCTGGCATCTTTTGGTGCCTCGGGGTCAAACGCTCGCGGAGGGGAAGTGGTGCTGTTGCTTGCGCGGCTGGAGAAGTATCGCGGATCATGACACACAGGTATCTCAAGTCTCGGCCGCGCTTCTGGCGCGCCTGCCCAAGAGATCCTTGCGGGGGGCAGACTCATGGGGGTAGCACCATACCCATGACTCCAGACTTGGGGGGGGGATCTCATGGCCAGGGCCACGGCACCTTCTCGGCTCGCATGGTCCCCCTTCTGGTTTCAATACGCCCCCCTCGCCTGCGCACATGCCGCAGGCCCTGACTCGCTGAGCCCCGCCTTCCTGGCCCCCCTCCTCGGCGCATCCGAGCTGAGCGTTGTGACCGCGTGCGCTCTTGTGCCTGACTCTCGTGCCCTTCTGGAGGCGCCACGTCCGTGCAGCCTCCAGGAGAGAGCGTGCAGTTCCGGGGCAGCGCCGCCGGCCGCGCGGCGGCGGGGCGTCGGCGGCGCAAAAAAAAGAGCCCAGGCGTGCCGCCGTGCGGATCCACTTTGGCGCGCTTGGGGGGCGCCTGCGCCGGGGTCCCGCAGAGGGGGTGTGCGCCCTGGGTCGGCACGAACGGGATGGGCACGGAAAGAATGGGTACGATGCTCAACAGCAGTTCCTGTTCATTTCGAACAGGATTCGCTGTCCGCGCCGCCGCGGCCTGTGTCCATTCGAGACAGAAGGCCGCCTGCCCAACAGCGGCGGCTGTTGGTTTGGGACAACATTTGTTGTTGGGCATCGCACCCATTTTTTCCGTCCCCATTTCGGGCGTCCAAACTGGGGTGTGAATGAGTTCGATCAGTTTCTGCACCGAGCCGCCCCAAACAGGTGCCGCCCCCGCCGCTGGCGATGCCCGATAGTCGCTGATAATTGGGTGGGGCATGCGGGGGGCACGTGCTTGCGGCAGTTCGGTACACCAGCGGATCGAGGTCATGCCCCCCCTCAGGGTAACTCCCCCTTGGTGGATCCCGACTGAAAGATAGATGGAGGGGCGGGGGGGTGTCATTGAATCCGTCATCCAGATTTGCTCTTTTCATTTCTGTGTGGAAGGCGGCGGAAATGGCAGGGGCTTGATGTACAATTGAATTCGCGTCAGGCTGGATGAACAGGGGTTCCCAATAATCGCTTCGCAAGAAGCGAGCTCATGATGCAAAGAAGAGCCCCCGCAGACGCGCCCAGGACTGGCGGAGATTTTTGTTTGACAAGCGGGTCGAGAGGCTTTACGTCCCACACACCCCAAGCGAATTCCCGGGGACAACCCGTTGGTTCTTTGTTGTACCCACCCACCTCGCGGCCGGCGCGCCTCGCGGGGAAACATTCGATCTCATGTTTCAATACCCGCCCTCCTTCCGCACGGCCAGAAAATTGCGGCATGCGTGTTGGCATTGGTCAGCGGCCTTGTTTTGGACATCCAACCTCCCCCTGCGGGCCAACAGAACTGCGGAATGCGATCTGTGCTGAGCATCTTATTTCCGCACCCGCCCACTCGCCAACCGACCCCCTCTTGCGGCATCCGCAGTTTCTCAGGAGGGGAAAAACACACAGACACAATCAATCGGCGATTCCCAGAAAATATGGGAAAATATGGGAAGTGGGGGGGAAGACAAAAACCCAGAAAATACTGGAAAATATTGGGAATCTTTTTATTTCTGTGTATTTATTAGTGTGTCCCAGTTCCCCTTCAGTTTCGTCGGTGGGTCGTCGTTGTCGTCGCCGCCGTCGCCGTCGTCGTCGTCGTCGTCGTCGTTCGTCGCCGTCGTCGTCGCAAGGCCCTGCGCGCCCCCCCACGGAGCGTCCGCACTTTGTCGTCGTCGTCGTTCGTTGTCGTCGTCGCTGGGCCTTTCGTTGCGCCCCCCTCCATGGGGCATCCGCAGTTCGTCGTCGTCTTCGTCGTCGCCGGCTGCCCAACAACACGTGCCACCCGCTGCTGTTCTCACGCCACCATGCTGGCTCCCAGAATCCCGAATGTACAGCTGGTTGTGATCATTCGGCTTCGGGGGTGACACGTGTCACCCGCTGCTTTTTTCCGGACTGAATGACCCTGCTATTGGCTCCCAGAATCCCAGATTCACAGTTGGTCTTCCTCAAAAGGTTTCGGGGGTGACACGTGTCACCCGCTGCTTCTGTGAGGCTGACTGAACCCACGCTGGCTCCCAGAATCCCGAATTTACAACTCGTTGTTCTCAGACAGTTTCGGTGATGGCGCGTGTCACCCGTTGTTTCTCTAAGGCTGATTGCCCCATGATGGCTCGCTGGAGCCCAAATTTACAATGAGCTTTTCTCACACGGTTTCGGGGGTGACACGCGTCACCTTTTGTTTGTGTTCCAGGCTAAAAGGCTTGTTGTTGGCTCCCAGAATCCCAAGCCCCCTCTGTGGGGCATCTGCAGTTCGCCGTCTTAGTCTTTGTCGCCCCGATCCACTCCTGCTGGCGAAGATGCATCGGGGAAGCTCATTTACGAAGTGGCCCACCCTGGGGGCCGCCGCGAACTTCGGGAAAGCAGTTTCCCTTTCACCCGCCTGCGATGTTGCTTGAGCCTGCCCTGTGGGTGCCGCCGCCAGCTTTCGGGAAACCCGTGCACCTTTCAACCATGCAATTTTTGGGATTCACCCACACCTAGGTAAATTTGGTGATATATATATATATATATATATATATGGACAGACCCCCTCCCCAGCACCCACTCTTACCAATATTCGTCTGCAGCTGTATTTCCCTTCTGCGCGCCCCCGTCGCCATTCAGCGAAACCCGCCGACGGCGCCGCTGGCATGTGAAAAGCAATCCTCGTGAAACCCAGGCTGGGCGCAGTCGTCAGGCCCTGTAAAGAATGCCGGTTTGGACGCCCAGAAACGTCAACGGAGGGTTTTCATTTGCTTCTTGGGGCTTCATGGGCGTATCTTGAGGCTTATTGGGGCATTTCCAGACCTGCTTAGGCAATCCTGGGAGTCTTGGGGGGTGTTTGCGCCTGAGTTGCATCGAGGGGCGAGGGGAATTGGGCCCTCTTGTGAGGAGGGGATGCCCGGGAATGGGAGGATCTATGAAGTGAGGAAGAGTGGTGGTGATGCTGGTGCCACTGAGCAACGCACGCGCGACATTACTGAGTGCAAACGCTTTGCGGATCCCCACCATCCCATCCAGAAAAGAAGTATATGGGCAAGCAGTGGAACAAAGAGAGGGTGGCAGCCGTCCAACCAATGCTCGGGGTCAGCCTGGGCAGGCCCAGGAGTCAATCATACATGCATTCGCGGATCTTTCGATCTGGGAGTTCATCGGCAATTTACGTGGGCCATATCGGGGCCCGCCTGTTGGAATTGTTGATGCCGTTGGGGCTCATTTGGAGCACTCTTCGGGCATTTGGGGCCCTTTGGGAAGCCTTGGGGTCCCTCTGTGGGCTCTCTTGCAGGACGTTGATCAAAGAAGAGGGTTCCCAATGAAGGTTGCAGTTTGTGATGCCTCGAATTTGCTTTGGGGGCACCATTGGGACTCACGGAGCGCTATTGGACGCTATAGGGGCAGTATTGGGTTCCTCTCTGGGCCCTTCTTGGGGCTCTCTTGTTGCCGCCGTGCGGGAGCCAGATTGGGGCTTCAGAAGCCCATGGGACGTTTCAGCCCCAGCAAGGAACCTGCATCGCAGCGGAGATGATCAGGTGGGTCGAGGAGCAAGGGATTGGCGATGCATGGACATGAGCACGGCGCAGCGCATGTGTTGTACAAGGGATCGTGGCCGCCTGGACGAGCATGTGGTAGGCATCTAGGCGAGAGCTCGTATCTTGAGCACAGCTTGAGGAAGTCTCAGGCGAGATGGCTGCCAGCACCGGGTAGGCGCGGGGGCTCCTTGCTCCCTTTGTCCTTTGTGGGGCTCGTCTGTGGCCCTTTGCCAGCACATTTCGGACGCTCCAGAAAACGCTACGAGGGAAATAGCTGCAGCCAGACAGGGCTTCAATAGCCCACTGGACACGAACAAGCGAACATACTCAACACTTGTGCCCCCGTAGGCGTTATACAGGTATAGCCCCTTGGGGACATCATCGAGATTCTCTTTGAGGAGTTCTTGGGACCTCTTGGGAGCGCGCTGTGTGTATCTTAAGCCATCTCGCATTGTCCAGCTGCCTGCGGCAAGTCTGGCCACCGTGCTAGCCAGGCTTTCTCGGTGGTCTGTGCGCGAGGGAGCACGGAGGTCCTGACGTGGCGCATCTCGTATCTCCCGTCTTCTGAGAGTCGTACCACGTGGCGCGTTCATTGTAGGGCCGTCTTGGGCGGCACTAGGAGCAAGGTGCTTGACGCCGTCACGTGTGACACCTCGGCTGTCGTGGATTGCTCGTGCGGCCTCGAAGTCTGTGAGCCCGTCAGGGGCGATGGCCATGATGGTGATGACGATGGTGATGACGAGGACAAGGGTGTGAATGATGTTGATGACGGTGTCGGTGATGAGGATGATGAGGATGAGGATGAGGACGACGATGATGGTGATCATGATGCTGATCATGATTGTGTATGAGGGTGATGCTGATGCCGTTGATGATGATGATGCTGATGTTGATGACGATGATGATGATAATGACGATGACGACGACGACTACGACGATGATGGTGATGGTGGTGATGATGGTGATGACGATGGCGAGGACGATGCTGATCATCATTATTACCGTGACGATGACAATGATGCTGTTGTTGATGCTGATGCTGATAATGTTGATGACGATGGTGATGTGGATGGTGTTAATGGTGATATTGATTATGATGATGCTGATGATGTTGAAGTCGTTGGTGACGATGATGCTGTTGATGGCAACGGTGGTGATGCTGATGATGCTGGTGTTGTTGGTGGTGGTGATGATGGTGATGACGATGCTGATGATGATGTTGAGGATGATGCTGCTTCTGATGATGATGGTGATGGTGATGATGATGATGATGATGATGGTATGGAGGAGGAGGAGGAGGAGGAGGAGGAGGAGGAGGAGGAGGACGACGACGTGAATGAAAAGGGAGATCTAATACAGTAGCCATTTTGGCTCAAGTCCGTAGTGGTTCGGCTCAGACTTGGCCTCTTGGCGTGGGGGAGGCGCGCCCCTGCCAACGAACCCACGGCCATTCTGGCCCAGGGTATCTTTCAGTGAGCTCCTGCTGGAGCACTCCGCATTTTCACACTCCACCAGGTGCCTTCCTATGGGAAAGGCAAAGGCAAATCGGGATGGATCTGGAATGGTTCTCAGACTACTGTTACTTGTGGTATGTGTGGTTGTTCCAAGAATCCGTCGCACTACAAGTGGTGCTACCACTGCAAGGCCTGGCTCCCCAAGATCGGCTATGGAACACCCCCTCCTCTCGGCGGCAGCTGGGCGAAGGGCGACACCAATGGAGTCAAGGACAAGGGTGGTGGCAAAGGCAAAGGCATAAAGCTCCTCAACCAGTTGGTCCGGGGAGCAGACACCAAGTTCAAGGACGTTATCCCAGAGAATGCTGAAGAAGTTCTGTCAAGTGTGCTAGACAACGCCAGGGCCACTCGCGAAGCCCAGGTTCCTGCCAGCAAGACCCTCATGTCCACGGAAGCAGAGATCAAGAAGAGGGAGTCCAAGATCCGCAAGTACGAGCTCCGCCAGGACAAGATCCTGGAACAGATCGAGGCCCTTGAGCTGGAAGGCAAAGAACTTCAACTTTCTATTGACAAAGAGGTTGAGGCCATCCATCTTGCTCAACAGCATCCAGCATCTAAGCTTCAATCACATCAAGGCCTACCTACACCAGATTCGCTTGGAGTCAATCTTCAGGCGTGGACAGAGGTCATCGGCCAGCTCGACAACGACCTGCGGCAACACCTCGGCCAGCTCTACCAGGCCGCGCTGGTCGGCATCAGCCCGTGCTCCGCCGACGTCTACACGGCTGCCACCAACATGGCCTCCACGTTGCTGGCCCCCTCGGACAGCACCGAGGAGCGGAGGGTGCAGCCACTCGGGGAAGACGAAGGAGGAGGAGGAGGAGGAGGAGGAGAGAGGATGTCGCGTTGGCAGCAGCGAGAGAGCGGCAGACCTTTCCCCGACACCTCCCCTGGTCAATCCCCCGAGTTCGAGCTATCAGACGATGAAGATATGGATGGAGATCCAGGAGATTTGGAAGCTGCTGACCAGGGCCTACATGGGGCCCTCGCTCAAGAAGGTCTCCTGGATGGGCCCCAAGGGGCCAGGGTCCCTCGGGTTATCGCGAGACACCTTAAGAAGAAGACTCAGCCCCGCAGGCCACCTTCAGGCCCATCGGCTGAGAGAGGCGAGCTGGACACACCGCCGCCGCGTGTTTAGCAGGGCTCGTTTGAGAGTCTCAACCTTCAACGGTTCCTGTTGGTCGACCTGCAAGGAACTCCTACAGGACTCAAAATGCGAAGTTGTTCTTCTCCAGGAACACAAGCTTCTGGCAGAAGGTCTCAGTTCAATGCAGTCTATTATTCTGCGAATGGGTTGGCACTCGTACGCTTCACCAGCAATTGTCAATTCTAATGGCTCCGCCACAGGTGGAACAATGGTGTGCATCAGGAAACATCTGGACTCTTGGGGCTTCGACAAGAGCAATATTTTTCCTGGACGTTTATCGGGGTGCTTCCTGCGAGCAGCTAAGCTTGGGGTCATCAAGGTTTTCTCTGTTTACCTCCAGGACCAGGTGCACATGAATGAGTTAAATCGTCGGGTTCTTAATGAGGTGTGGTCTCGGGTCGCTCAAGCTGGCACACCGTTTCTCCTGGGGGGCGATTTCAGTATGCCCGCTGATTTGGTTTCGACATACCAGCCGCTCGACAAATTTGGTGCTGTTATGCGGGCGCCAGCTACACCCGCGCTCCTCCAGGGCGGCAACAGTTCCACGATCGATTATTTTGTGCTCAGTCGTGCATTGGATGCATGTGACCCGACGTTGCGCGTGAACACTTTGTGGCACAAGCGTCCTCACTTACCTGTTGAATTGAGCATAGACAAAAGTATAGATGATGTGCATGTACGTGTCATGACGCCGTATATCAAGCTACCCCCCACTCCAGCAATCGGACCTGCGTGTAAGCCTCCCACATGCACATCACCCGTCAACAAGCTCGAGCACGCCATACATGCACGCGCGCATGCATCTGGAAACACATACATGGCCAGCGAACATGAACAAGCACACCTACAGACTATCTTAGACGAGGTATATTTGGAATGGTCCACACATGCATGGAATGAGCTGGTTAGTATCACATACCGGCCCACGAGCTAAAGGCCGCAGAGGAGGTCTACCGCCTGAGTTTCAAGATGTGATTCTGCGCAATGTGTTGGCTACCAAGGCCTACACCAAAGTATTGCCTGGCCGTGCTTTGCTATGGGTATATAACAGATTGCAGGAGATTGAGGCGCTTCTGGTCAAGAATGGACCGTACAAGCTTGACCCCCACCTCACCTCCCCCCTTCGTCAGTTGTGGGAACTATCAGAGAAAGGGTGACCTTTTCGACGCTATTGGAAACAGGGCACCAGTTTCTGGCATCCTTTCTTGTCTGACCTTGCACGTGCCATTTTGATGAAGAGTTCTAATGCTATGCGATTCTCACTGCTGGCGCCAGTGATCAAGTTTGCGCAAGCCTGCTCCGAACTGGGACAGGTCCAGGAGCGCCGCAGGCAGAGGCAGGAATGGGAGGAATGGTGTTCTCTAGCAGGATCTGGTCATGTTCAGAAAGCTATCTCGTTCCTTCGAGGCTCTGAATATCGCCCTGAAGATGTCGTCGGAGTGGGATCATGCATGTCGTCATCACTTCCGAGGAGGATGGAGGCGGAGGTTGAACATTGGTCTAAAGCCTGGGATGTCAAGCCTGACAAAGCCCCTCCCCCGAGTCGTGCTTCGTTGTGTCCAATGCCTGTTCCTCCTCCTACCGACCCAGAAGTTATTAGATCTTTTTCGAGACGATTCAAGATGCGGACATGCACCCCAGACGGCACGCATCCCAGGCATTACTCGCTGCTGTCAACTGGTGCGCTGGAGGCGCTCTCGTTAATCTTCCACATGATGGATGTACTTGGCACGGCTCCTACATCCATCCAGATGGTAGTCATGCTGCTTATGCCTAAGCCCCAAGGAGGGAGAAAACCCTTGGGCCACTACCCAGCTATGCCACGTCTGCATGCTAAACTACACAGGGGCCCATGTAGATCCTGGGGACGGGAATTTTGGCTGGGTGCTGCTTTCTCTATGTCTCAGGGGCGGGGACCTCAGGACTTGTTCGGCGTAATGCTGTAAGAGCAGTGTGTTCTATGGGATCTAGTACAATTCTACGGCAAGATATGTCACTGCAAGCTACTAGAACAAGCAGAATTAGTTGGCTTCCCTATGCATGTCATCCTCTACACCATAGGCACATACCGATGGGCACGATTTTTGTTTGATGCACGGGGCTTTCGGCCCATCTCTTTGCCCCCGCAGCGGGATCATCGCTGGATCGACGTCGGCGACTTTTGAAGCAACGGCGTATCTTTTACCAACTGTCAAGAGCTGGACCTTCGACCCTGACCACTGTTGCCTTGGAGTTCACATCGATGACCTCCAGTTGCGCTCGTGGGCCAGCTCGGTGAAGCTCTGCATTTCCATCATGCAGGCAATGACGGTGTCTCTAGCCAAAGTTCTTCAACCATACTTGGGATGCTCTCTCTCCGAAAAGAAGATGACCATCACCGCCAATTCCAAGGAGCTCGCGAAACATGCTAAAGCTGTTATTGGCCCCCTAGGAGGCTCTCTAGAGGACGCCCCATCAAACCTCGGGATTGACTACATGGCTGGAAAGCCGAAGTCCCAGGCCCGTCGTCTGAGCAAGAGGGCTGCTAGGCGGCGTAAGTTTAAATATAGAATGAGTAGGCTCAACAAGTTTAGGGGCTCACGTTGACTTAAGACCAGGCTCTAAAAGGCGAGTGTACAGTCAGTCATCTCCTACGGGGCCCAAGTTCAAGGCTTCTCACCTAGGGAAGTTTTAAATTGAAGAAAATCGGCGGCTGCGGCTATGGGGGTGGAACTTTCGGGGGTTCCCTCGGATTTATCCTGGGCCCTCTCGTCTCGGTCCCAGGAAGACCCCATATATATAGCTGCAGCCACGATTGAACGGCATGCATCAGAATGGCGGCACAACGCCCAGACCCGTCCCGAAGCTGGGCTGAAACACAAAGATGCCATCGTTCTGAGCGCACTCTCCTCTGCGTTTCGCGCTGCCCAAGAGCCGGCGTTGAACTCTGTTGGTAAATCTTGGGCTGCTCGAGACAAAGGGCCGTTGAGTGATGCAATTTTGTGGATTCTCGAGGTAGGGTGGACTATAAACAGTCCCTCCACTTTCACAACCTGGCAAGGTGATAAGCTGGTCCTCACTGAATGCCCCCCGTCGGTGGTCACTCAGACACTTGTCGCGGACGTAACCAGCCAGAAGATTGCCGCAGTATTTAGGAAGAGGCCCGCGCCTTTGTCTCGCCCCATTGCTCGGCAGATCGAAGCTGAAGGATACTGGCTTTTTGCAGGCAAAAAAGACCCCCCACGGGAAGTCTCTGCCCGATGAACACCAGCATCTTTTTAGTCAGGTTCTTGCAGGGACCCTCCCCACTTGTGAAAGGCTCCACAAGTGGGGCTATGATCTTTCGCCGTATTGTTTGTTCTGTCAAGTGCCAGACACACCCTTTCACCGTATATGGGAGTGTGTCCATGGGGCCGCGAAGCGCCAGGAAGTATTTAGTCCAGAGTTGATCCAGGACGCCCTGGAAGCTGGCCCCGACCACCCACTCTTTGCTCACTTCCTCCAACCTGCCCCCTCCATCCCAGAGGTGGCCCAGGACTGGGATTTAAGATTCGTGGATGCTCGGTCTAACCCAGTCGACCCATTTCATTCCCCCCCAGAGGCTTTTACCAGACGGGGGATGCGACAATCGATCCTATTCTGAACTAGCTCGTGCAGGGGTGGCGGCTGTAGAAGTCGACATTGAGGGGAATCTCCTGCGTGCGATTTACTCCCCTCTCCCTCGAGATTTCCCTCAATCACCTGGAGATGCCGAGCATGCAGCAGTGGCTTTAGCGATGCTCCGATCGCTCGACCCTGCTAGTAACGCGTATCACTACGATTGTTCTGCCCTGGGCCAATTTGTCACCTGGACAGGGAAAGCTCTAGCGGGCAGGACCCCGCAAGCCAGGTATTGGAGGCCAGCTGCGCGGTCGCTAGGTTCATCACCCATCCCTGCCACGTGTAAAGTGAAGACCCACCTACCAGAGGGAGAGGCCCAAGATGAGATTGGCTTATTTCATTTCAAAGGCCACTCACTTGCAGACCACTTCGCAGGATTGGGAAAGAGAGCGCACGGCCTTCCACAGAATACTTTAGACATCTACACCCAGGCTCTAGCTGAATACGAGAATTTAGTTTTAGGAGCCTGTGCTGTTTTACATGTGTGGCCGACACCCAAGGAGATTCTCGGGCAGTTGGCCAGGCCGAGGATGGCCCGCCGCCCTAGGTCCCAGGGGAAACCTCACCATCCAGTCTGGGACGGCAAAGCATTCCGCTGCCGTATTTGTCTCCGCAGATGCTCCAAGCAGAGTACGTTTGCATGCGAAGCCCTGGCCCCAACCCTAGCAGAGCTGCTGCGTACGGGCGGAGGGAAAGGGCACCAGCTTCACTCAGCTCGAATTCAAGGGAGTGAGCTGCCTGTCATTTTCTGCGTTCTCTGTGGGAGGTTTGCCACGCAGAAAAACAAGAGGCCTGCCGGAGACTTGCCCCCGCCCAAAGAAGTCAGGGGAAAGGAACAAGCTCCTCAGAGGCCTTTTGCCTGGCACTTCCCTGCTTTTGGGCCCTGCGTTCCCCCTTTCGTTCCTCTGGTCCCCTCCTGCCCCCCCCCCCGCTTCCCCTGGGCCTCAACTGCAGGAGAGCGGCCCCCAGCCTCCGCGAGAGGCCAGAGAGATGGTTGCGAGCGCTGCTGCCCCTGCAGAAAGCCAGGGGCAGCCTCTCGCCCTGCCCACTCAAGAAGCGCAGGCCCCCCCAGAGGAGGAAATCCAGCCCTCCCGCGGCCTGCTGCCCGTGTAAGCTCTGGTTTTCTTTCGGGCCACGTTTTGCCTCCTGGTCCTTGCTGTGCCCGCGTTCGCCACTGCCGAAGTTCGTCCTCCCTGCGGCCGGGGCCAGCCTAGACCAGGTCAGGTAGCGGCAGCCCGTGACCTAGAGCTCAAGTAGAGGATGACATGGGGAGGGGATACCTTTTCGGCTGCTGCTACCGACCACTGTGTTTGTTTTGCCTTGGGAGTGGCGGCGCCCCTGTCAGGGGATTGTGCAAAGGCCTAGCCGTATGATCACCCTGGTCAAGTCTTGAAGGTCTGAAGGGAGATCTAATACCTTTCATCTCCACTTCTTGAGGAGCCCTCGTGGACCCAGTTGGGCAGTCTTGGGGCCTCCTTGGGGCCTCTCGGATGTCGTCTTGGGGCCTCATGGGGTGCTCGTTTGGGCATCTTGGGGCTTGGGGCTCTCTTGGGCCGTCTTCGGTGCCTCTCGGGCTGTCTTTGAGCCCTATTGGGCCGTCTTGGGCCCCTCTTGGGGGCCTCGTGGGCAGTCTTGGGGCAGTCTTGGGAGAGTTTTGGGGTCCTCGTGTGGCGTCGGAAGCTCGAAAAGGAGAGAATCCCAAGCGCATTGAACACCCACCAGGCAATCAATGAGTTGTGTTTCTCAGGGCCCTCTTGGGCGCCCCTTTGGGGCCCCATTGGGCCTGCTGGGGGCCTCTTGGGGCGGACGGCTCGAATTGTCGGTTCGTGCTCCCCCTAATGGGTTCTTCATGGGCCCGTCTTGGGGCCTTCTTGGGGCGCTTTGGGCGCCTATTGGGCAGCTTGGGAGCCGTCTTGGTCAGTTGTGGAGCTATCTTGGGGGCCCCTTGAGCCGTCTCGAGGCAGTCTCGTGAGCTTCTTGGGCCGTCTTGGAGCGTCGGAAACTCGAAAACACGGCGAACGCCTGCAACACATTCAATGGTTATGAAGCGGCAGTGACTTTTGCCTCTCGGGGCCTTTTTGGGGGCCTCGTGGGTTGCTCAGTTGGCTTTTCTGGGGCCCTCCTGAGACCTCGTGAGGCGGGCGGCTCGAATCGTCGGTTCGTGTGCCCCCTCATTGGGCCCTTTTTGGACCCGTCGTGGGGCCCTCTTGGGCCGTCTTGGGCGTACGGATCTTGGGCTGTTTTGGAGCCCGGGCACGAACCTGTTGCATTATGTAAGGAATTGCAGCCTCCGGATTCTGGGGTGGTGCATGCCGCTGTGCGCAGGGACAGGGGGAGGGCTTGGACAATAACAGAAACGCTAGCAGACAGCGCTTGGCATTCTAGCACGCCCCAACATGCTAGGTGGCAAGGTGGCTGACATTGTGCTATCTCTGAGGCAGTTGCGTGATTGGGTATCTTACTTTGGGGCCAGCTTGGACGCTCTGACTGCCCCCCCCCTGTCCAGGCCCGCGAAGGGGGGGGAAAGGTCAAGCTACCCCAGATTTCGTAACAAAAGGGAGGGGGTCTGGACCCTCCAAGACAAGCCATTTCAGACCTCCCCCGTGGGAGAACCCTCCAAAACATCGTCCCCAGACCCCCCAGGCCCTCCAAGATAGCCTGGAAGAGACCCCCCGAAATGAAACCCCCCTCCCTTCATTACGAAATCTGGGGTACCCCCCGAGCGACGGACGCCTCGCCGTCCCGCCCGCTGCCGCCAGCACGGTGGCACCCGCACCTCCCCGCTGCAGGGTTCACCGTGGGATGAGCCGCCCGCTCGCGCCAACACGGGCGCCGGGTGCGCGACGCTTTGGATGGTGCGTCGCGCGCGCCGGGTGCCCCTCTCGCGCCAGGTGCACCAGTCTGGACGCCCGAAATGGGCACGGAAAGAATGGGTACTATGCCCAACAGCAGTTCCTGTTCATTTTGAACAAGATCCGCTGTCCACGCCGCCGCGGCCTGTGTCCATTCGAGACAGAAGGTCGCCTGTCCAACAGCGGCCGCTGTTGGTTTGGGACAACATTTGTTGTTGGGCATCGTGCCCATTCTTTCCGTGCCCACTTCGGGCGTCCAAAACCAGGCGCCCCAAGGGTCCGAGCGTGCGTGGCGCGCCAGGGTGCGCCAGGGTGCGCCCTGATGCGTGGGCGTCGCACTTGTCAGCCGCGCCGAGGGTGCCAGGTGCTCCACCCACGCCAGGCGCGCCACGATCGCGATGCGCGCGCAGCGTGTCATGCGCCAGCGCATGTGGCGGCGCGCATTGGAACGCACGTCGGCCTCCAGCACCCCTGTCGAAGTCAAAGGAGAAGTGGCCGCGTGGTGGTCAGCAGGGTGTATGGTCTGCACACCCGCAAACACCTCTTCGGTGTTTGGCGCTGGCGAGGTGCACGCACACACCACAATGCGCGGGCATCCCCCGCCATCCCTGTCAAACAGCACTGCATGATGATCGCGGGTCGCCCGCGCATGGTCCAAGATTTTGCGGCAGGAGTTGTGGGCTTGCGCGCTGGGCAATATGAGCTCCCCCCCTCCCTCCCGCCGTCTCTGGCAAAACTCCATGTTCAGCAAGCCCGGGGCGCCCGAACATGATTCAGATTTTGCCGCGACTTGGGTTTTTTGTATTGTTTTGGGCAGGGGTGGTGGGCGGCCGGGGGGGCATGGATCCTGGTTGGCGGCTGGTCGAGTGGGGGAGGGGGTTGCTCATCAACAGGAGGCAGCGGTCCAGTTCCCAGCGGGAGCGCCGCAAGCTGCCCCGCTCGCTCCCGCCCGCCCTCCTTCTGCACAAGCACACGCACCGCGCGAGCCTGAGCGGCCGCCAGTGACAGTCCTCGGGCGCCAGCACGGAGGCCAGCCGCGCGCGGGACCCCGCAGAGGTGCGCCGCGCGCGGCAGGTCCGCCTCGTCGCACCAGGTGCGCCAGGCGCCCCAGGGGCCCAAGCGTGCCAGGGGCGCCCGGCCGACCCCTCCCCCCATCATGCCCCATGAGAGAGCAGTGCAGCTGGGCATCGGGATTGCGAGCCTCGTGTGTCGCGCGTGCGCCCGCAGTCACTCTGCATGGTCCCTTGTCGCAGGGGTGGGCCCGTGCACAGCGGGCCACAGGGTGCCCCTCCCGCCCCCCCTTCCATCTCTGTCAGCAAACAGTGCGAAGTGATCGCGGGGCGGCCGGACATGACGTGTATCGTCACCATGGAGTGTATGTTCTTATGTTCTCTGACAGGGGTGTGATGAGGAGTTTGGGCATGGTTCACGGTCGGTCGCCGGTGGAGTGGGAGACGAGATGTTTCTTCTTAGTAAGGGGCAGGCATGATGTTGTCCCTGAAGGGGAAGAGCCGGGTTGGAACAGGAATCGCAGCGAAGGCCGGCGGAATGGCACGCACTGCGCCCCGGAACGCGCACACAAAGGTGTATCCATCACTGCAGGGGTCTGCGCAAGAAACACGGCAACCTGCGCACGCGTGGGTATCTGCATGGTAGTAGCCGAGCCTTCAAATGGCAGTACACGCGCATGCATCAGTATTTACATGTATGGTAGTTGCACGGTTGCACATGAATCTACATGTGTGCAGAGAAAGCGCGACGCACAGTAGTCGGCCCTGCTTGTGTGTAATTATGCACATATGTACATGTATATGCTCATGTCTGTACGTGCAGATATTGGAACTCGCATTTAACTGCACGTGATTGTTTGCCAAGCTTATACTATTTTCCCGTGATGCGGCTGCCATGTTACCAACATCGGGGGGGTAGCGGGGTTTAATTGAGTGAACGGTGGGAGCACTTGATGAGGTTGGTAGTTGGATCTGTGCGAAGCAGTGGGTTATGGTGGCAGTGAACGATGTTACCGTGGTTTGGCGTGATGTAGGGGCGGGTGGTTCGCTTAGCGTGCCGACGACCACGACAAATTCCAGATGTGAGCAGATGTGGGAACGCAAAGCAGCGAAACGCAAGCCACGGCACTGTCTGAAGGTTGTCGTAGTCATGTGTTGATGTTGTGTTTTTGTCGCGGTCGTCGGTTGGTGGACTTGGTCGTGTTCGTTTTCTTGTAAGTTTCAAGACGCAAGCCGCACGCCGCCCAAACCACAGCCCAACACAAACGTTTGTCCTTGGTCGTGGTCGTCCAACGTTGGTCTGGGTCAGTTGCTTTGTCGAAGGATTCGTATTGTGAGAGTGTTTGGTCTTCCTTCCTCAGACGCCTCTCTATACTCAACAAGTTGCTTGAGCAAATGTCACCTGAACTCACACATCCGAGCACCAGTGGGGTGGGTCTGAGGAGGGGGTCGAATTTGCCATTCGCCAAAAGAATTGGCGGATTCAGCTTGGGCCAGTCTGAGGTTGCCGAACGCTTGTTCTGTGGTCGTCGGCAGGAGGGACAGGGATTTCCAGATTGATGGCTCGTCGCAACACATGCCAGTTCCAGAGCGAGGACGAATCTGGGCCAGTGGGGAAATGTGGGGGCAGCTGGTGTTTCCAGCAACCGCAGAGGATGTGCAGGGATCGCCGTGGCATTGTTTTTCTTCATCCAGGGACGCAGAGTCCATCGCCCTCGTCTGGCCACCTGTGTGCTTTTGTGCAGGGCTGATGTCTCTGGCATGCCCACGTGGATCTCCATGTGCTCCATCTCGCCTCGGGCGAGGACGGGAGCCCTCGAGTGGGGAGGCGAAAGCGAATGACCGCAGGGGCTGCGAGGGAGGGATCAGGGCAGCCGCCCGCAGCAGGGTTCTCTGCCCGAGTTTTTTGTTGGCTCGTTGTGCTTTCCGCCACTGCTGGTATTGATGGGCCAGCTTTCCACCACCACTACCATAAGGAGGAAGGGAGGAGCAGGAGGTGGAAAAGGAGGAAAAGGAGGAGGAGGAGGAGGAGGAGGACCTCATCCTCTCTTCCCCCCCGTCCCTACCCATGGCAGTGGCGGTGGAAGACTGGCCCATCGGGTATCCCACCACGCCTCTCAACAGGGACATCCAGCTGGGCCCGCGAGCGATGCCTCGGCTGCTGCCCACGGCTGCAGAGGTCCAGCGCGCGCAGCAGCGCGGGGCCGAGGCAGCCGACCGCTGCTCGCGAGGCGCGCCCCCGCGCGGCGGCGGCCGCGGCGCGGGCGCGGCTGCGCCGCCCCCGTTCCAGCCTGCGCCGCGCGCGGCGGCGGTGGCCATGGCGGAGGAGTCGCACTCCGAGGCGGAGACGGAGGTCGGCTTGGCATCGCTCGGGCGTGTGCATTTTTCCTTCGGCGAGGGCCATCGAGGAGCATCCTTGATGAATTGGCGAAGAAGCCACGCACGAAACCGAAAAAACACAGTGAATGGACGTCCGAGCGATGGCGAGTCGGGGGCTGCTGGGAGTGCCCCGGGCCCGGGGTGCCCCCCAGGACTGCCAGGGAGGCCCCCCGTGGCGCCTCCAGAGCTCCCTTCACGAGGCTCAGAGCGCCTCCGGGGGCTCCAGCATGGGACGAAGAGCTGCGGGCACAGCGTGCCGGGGGGAAAATTCCGACCCCCTGGCGAGGGGTCGCAATCCGAGGCGTGCACAGAGGAGCTCGACGAGGGCAACGCCGAGTCGCAGGAGGTCTTGTTCGAGCCCTGTCGCGACTATGTGATGGCACACCCGCGGGGTCACGTAGATTATTGCCACATCGACGCCGAGGTGGTCTCCACAGCTGGCTCTTGCCGCACAGCACGCCTCCACGTCGGTAAGGACGGCCTCGTCATCGAGGAGGAGGGCAAGCACCGTGGCAAAGACCGCGTCAAGCACCACATGCTCATGCTGCCGTCGGTCCAGATCTGGATCAGCGAAGAGCCTGGGCGGGGCACGGTCCAGACTCCGCGGGTATCACTGCGCATCGCTGGCTCGTGGCCAACCCTCGGGGTGAATCTGCTGCTCCCCAGGACCACGGCACAGTCCCTTCAGGGTACGCTCCTGGGGCTGGTGAGAGCGGTGACTGCGGGCCTGCACCTGGAGGTGCACCCTGCGCTGCCAGAGGGGCTGCCAGGTCGTGTCTCGTGTCGGGATGCTCCCGATGCCCAGGCCCGTGGGCCATTGCTCCGGGCGGGCTACGTGTTGTACTCCAGCTTTGCCGACGTCGCCCAGATGCATGGATTCCCTAGAGGGGGGCGATGCACCGATACCGCAACCCGTCGCTCGTCGCCACCGCTGGACTCGCCTCAAAATCCTGGTCAGAATGTACCCGGGGAGCAGCGGTCATGACCCAGGAGGGGTCCTCCTCTTCCTCCTCCGCCTCCTACTCCTCGTCCGCCCTGTCCTCCTCGTCCTCCTCCCGCTCGCCTCGAAGTTCTGGTCTGGGGAGCAGCGGTACCGGTATCGCGCTGCCCCCCCCACTTCCCCCAGGAAGGCAGCCGGGCCCGAAGAGTGCGCACGCGGATGCTGCGGAAGCCACCTCGGAGGTGCCGAGCTACAGCCTCTGCTACGCGGAGCTCTGCGGTCCGACCAGGGTGGGAGACGCCCGCGCCTACCTGTTCAGCAGCCACGTCGACGGGGAGGCCGCTCGGCTGGTCACGATCATCTGGCCGTATGCCGAGGATCGACGAAGAAGGGACGTTACACAAGCATGTTGACACCCTTCGGCAGAGGACCCTAAGCAGCTTTCGACAGTGGCCCTACACTTCACATGTAGGCCCACTCACTGACTACAATACCAACATCGCTGGTTGTGCATAGCGGTACCTATTCCTACTATTACTACTAATACTAATAATAATATGTTGACTACGAGTGCTACTACTACTACTACGACTACTACTACTACTACTACTACTACTACTACTACTACTACTACTACTACTACTACGACTACGACTACTACGACTACGACTACGACTACGACTACGACTACGACTACAACTACGACTACGACTAGGACTACGACTACTACTACTACTACCACTACTACTACTACTACTATTACTACTACTACTACTACTATTACTACTACGACTACTACTACTACTACTACTACTACTACTACTACTACTACGACTACTACTACGACTACTACGATTACTACGACTACAACTACAACTACAACTACGACTACTACTACTAGTACTACTACTATTACTACTACTATTACTACTACGACGACTACTACTAATACCACTATTACTACTACTCACACTACTAGTACTACTGCTACTACTACTACTACTACTACTGGTACTACTACTACTACTACCACTATTACTACTACTAATAGTATTACTACTACTACTACCACTACTACCACTACTACTACTACTTCTACTACTACTACTACTACTACTACTACTACTACTACTACGGCTACTACTACTACTACTGCTACTGCTACTGCTACTACTACTACTACTACTACTGCTTCGACTACTACTACGACTACTGCTGCTGCGACTACTACTACTACTACTACTACTACTACTACTACTACTACTACTACTACTACTACGACTAGTACTACTACTACTACTACTATTACTACTACTACTACTACTACTACTACTGCTACTACTACTACTACTACTACGGCTGCGACAGTTGTAAGTAATGTCTTAATCCGAGCGAGGGGCCGAACGGTCATTCAATGTCCCTGGGTGCGTGGATGAAGTGAGAATCCGTGTTGAGGATTATGTTTGTTTCGTTGTTGTTGTTGAACTCTCACTTCTGAAGATTATTATTGGTGATCCCCCTCACCGGTGCATACTGTTTCTTCTCAATCAAAGTGTGCCCCTCGACGCTCGCGCCCTGTTTTTTAACAGGGGAAGTCTTGATGCTCAATCTATGCCCCTGGCCCCCCGGATTACAACAACAACGGCTCCCGCCTGAGACTTCCTCCAAATTTACTCAGGACCCCCGCTCCCGTTTTAGAATTCTTAACAATTTACTCATGATCGGTGCTCCCGCTTGTGACTTTCTCGCAATTTAGTCAGGAGCTCCGCTCCCATCTGACAATTTACTCAGGAACGGCTCTCCCGCTTGAGACTTCCTCACAATTGAGTCAAGACCTCCTCGCATTTTAATCAAGACCCCAGCTCCCGCTAGATAACCCCTCACATTTTATTCAGGAAGTGCGCTCTCGCCCGTGACTTTTGTGCAATTTATTCAGAAATCGCGCGTTCGACGCTCAGGAAACACGCTAACACGCTGCGCCAAGGACGCCATCACAATTTTACTTTGGAATCGCGCTCTCGCCATACTCAAGCATCCAGCTTGAATGTCCCACCCGCCCGACCCGTCCGTCAGGGGATCGCCCGCCCGTCGTGGGCTCCCGCCCGAGACTTCCTTCAGGAATGGCGTTTTCGCCTAGGACTTCCTCGACTGTTCACGCTCGTACCTTCCTGCTCCTCCTCTCTCTCCCTCCTCGCGCCTCCCTCCTCTCCTCCCTTCTCTCTGCTTCCTCTCTTCCCTCATCCTTATGTCTCTCTGCCCTATCCCCTCTCCCTCCTCTTCCTCCTCCCTTCTCCCTCCCCTCTCCTGCCTCATCCCTCCCTCTTCCTTTCTCTCTCTCTTTCCCTTATCTCTTTCTACCCTTCTGATATGTATGGTGTTTGTTCTCGCTCGCTTTCTTTCTCTCTCTCTCTCTCTCTTTCCCTCTGCCTCTAATCAACCGCCCCTTCTTCGCTCCTTCTCTCCTGGCGTGTGTCCTCTTCCTTCGTCCCCCCCATTCCTTTCCTCCCGCTCTCCCTCGTTATCCACCTCCTCTTCTGCAGGGCCTACACCAATTCCAATGGCGGGCACACGTACGCCCACGAAGGATCGTCCGCCCGTTCAGGTTTGCCCACTTGTTTGAGCCCGCCGCCCCCCGCAAAGAGAAATAATCCTCCCAAAGGGGGTGTGATCGAAGACAAAAAGGGCGGGTATCGTGGGTGTGGAGAATTCGTTTTGAATGACACACGGGCCAGTAAGAGCGAACAGTCTTATAATGATTGGTGTTGCTGCTGTTGTTGTGGTTGTTGTATGTTGCCGTCGTCCCCCCCGCGACCCACCCGCAACCCAGCAAGCTAAGCGGTGTAAGGCCAGTAGAGCAATCTATGTGGTGCAAGATCTGTGGCGTAAGCCATGTGGTGCGACGTATGTGGTGCAATTGACTACCCTGCACCGCGCCTGACCACCGCCACTGCTCGCGCACGCATCCCACCCACCCACCCGCAACTTGGTCGCAACACTTCTTAAGACAAGACCGTGACGGTAGGTACCACATGGCACTTGGCCACGACACCGACGCTGACGACGACAGCGGCAAATACGACGACGGCGCCGCCGACACCGACTACGACGACACCGCCGACGCCGACGTCGACGAAGACGCCGACGACGACGAAGACGACGACGACGTCGCCAACGAAAACGGCGACGAGGGAGGAGGGAGGACGACGACGGCGACAACGACGACAACGACGATGGATGAGGGAAGACGGCGACGACGCGAACGACGAAGAAAGAGGAAAGACAGCGACGCCGACGACGACAACGACGAGGGAGGAGGGAAGACGAAAACGACGACAACGACGACGAAGACGACGACGACAGCGACGAAATAGGAGGGACGACGACAAGGCGCCGACGACGGACGACGACGACGACGACGAGGGCGAGGGAGGACGATAACGACGAGGGAGGAGTGAAGACGACGACGACGACGACGACGGCGACGAAATAGGAGGGACAACGACGAAACGCCGACGAAAGACGATGACGACGACGACGAGGAAAGACAGAAGACGACGACGGCGACGACGACGACGACGAGGGAAGAGGGAGGACGACGACGACGACGACGCAAGAGCGCGCGCGCACGCTTTTGTTGAAAATCCGTGTTGCGAACCCTTGGGTTTTTTGTAGGTTTTTTGGACGCGCGATTTTGAAATCCTTCCGAGAACCGATGGGTTTTGAAGGATTTCGGCCTACGCGCGCGACGAAGCGCGCGTCTGTACTTCGTCCCATTTTTTGCAGAGGGTTCTCGCGACGGCACACGCGCAAGGGCGTTCGACAGATTTCGACATGCGCGCGCGCGACGCCCGTTTGGTAGCACTTTGTGAAAATCTTGAAAAACAAATGGTTTTCTTCAGATTTCGCAAGAGCTCGCGCGGAAGCTTTTTTAGCAAGTCAGTGTTGCGAACCCTGTGTTGTTGTATGTTTTTTGGGAACATGATCGACCCACGAACCCGGAAAGGAATATAGAAATGTAAGGCGTTGCAACATTTCAAAGACACCTAATCGGGCGACGGGCACATGCAATGCTGAATGTATCGATGATGATGTACTGTGCCGAGGAATGTGCTGTGCTACGCCGTGCTGAACTGCGATGTGCCATGCCGCGATTGTGCTCTATATAGCGTTGTGGATCGAGTCCTCCCTGGCATCCGAGTCCTCACCGAACTGATCTGGATCGTAAGCTCGAGCTGCCTGAGCAGATGGTAGCTGCCCCAGAACTAATCGACAGAGGGAACATGCCAAGAGGACGCGCCGCGGAACGTCCCAAGGGACGCGCCAGGCGACGTGCCAGGGGACGTGCCATGGGCACGCACCGCGGGACGTGCCAAGGGGACGCGATACGGAACGTGCCAATGGACGTGCACCGCGCGACGTGCCAGGGGGACTCGCCACGGGACGCTCCGCGGAACGTGCCAGACCACACGCCAGGCTGCAATGCTAAGGGTATCGATATTGATGTACCTTCCGGCACCGGAGGTTTTTGAAGGATTTCGGCATGCGCGCGCGACGACGCGCGCGTGTGCACTTCGTTTCATATGTTGCAAGGGATTCGTGAACAAGCGTTATGTTAGAACAAACAATGTCACCGCATAGTGTTTTTTCCAGGGAACCTCAGGGGGGGGGGGGAAACCGGCCTGCCAGGGATGGTATGATTTCATTTATATATATATATATATATTAAATTGTATTATCCCATGGGGAAGCGTAAAGTCCGGGGGGGGGGGGTAAAGTGTATTCTCTTTTTAGGAAGGGAAACTTGCGTGGTGTAAACTATGTATTGACATGTACGCTTTACAGTATTTGTTTCACGGGCGCCCATGACTGTTTGACATACCCGTTTTTGTCAGCCCAAGGTGCCACCAGGGTCGCTCGGTGTGGCCGAAGAGGCACCTCCACACGCACCAAGAGTGGCCCAAGAAGGGTCCACAACGCCGCAAGAGGGCCTCTGGACAGGCTTCATACGTTCCAAGAGGGCGTCAGGACATCCCAAAAGTGCCTATACCGCAAGGCGGCTACATATAGCCCAAGAGGGCCCCAAGATGCCGCGGGGGGCGTCCACCGAGGCCCTGGAGGCATGCATTGTGTCCCTCCCGTCGCATTTCGCAGCAGATGGCTTGGCACGCACCTGCATCAACTGTGGGAGCGGCGCGTAGCTTCTGGGAACTTCGGGATCGACGTTCCCAGAAACATTTTTGGGAACACACGAGGTGTCGATCCCTGCAACCTCACGGTTGACACCGCTCGAATCGGGAGGGGGAGGGTGATGAGGCGACGAGGAGGGCGTGACGGAGGACGAAGGCAGCAGGTTCCGTGTGTTCTCGAGTCGGAGCTTTTTTCAACCCCAGGCGATAGTGAGGTGACGCAGTTATTCGAGACGCTTCGCGTAACCCCGCCGACCCATCCAGAAACGATGCCCAGGCGAATTGCCTTGCTCAGGGATGTGGAGGAGCATCAGTCGAATGAAGGGCTGGGCAGGGCATCGTGCCTCCAGAGGGGGCGGATGGAGGAGGAATCGGAGCTCAGGAGGAGGTGGAGGAGGAGGGAGAGGTGGAGGGGGAGGAGGGAGGAGGAATGAGGAAGAATAAGCGGATGAGGAGGAGGAGGCGGAGGAGGAGAAGTTGGAGGGCGAGTAGAGAGGCCAGAAGCTTCTTGCGTGCCTCTCGGAGTCTCTGCGGATTTAGTTAATCGCTTCGCTCATTCCGCCGGCCCAGATTGTCTCGCCGCTGTCGTTTGTCGGGGTGTTGTCAATGCGGTGCGGTTGGGTGGCTGCCATTTTTCGGAGGCGGTGGGTGGCGGGTCAGAGGCCTCACGGATGTTGGTTGGGCTCTCGTGGTTGGCCTCTCAGGGCTTTTTGGGAGGCAGTTTCGAGGCCTCTTGGGGCCGTGATGTGGTCTCTTGGGGCCTCTTGGGGCTTCTTGTTTTGCCTCTTGGGGGCCCTTCGGGGCCTCTTGGGAACCTCTTGGGGCCTCCTGGGGGCCTCTTGGGGCTGAAGGCTGGACTTTTCGGTTCCTGGTTCCCTTCTTGGGCCCCTCTTGGGGCCGTTTTGGGGCTCTCTTGGGCCGTCTTGGGCGCCTCTTGGACTGTCTTGGGGTCATCTTGGGCCGTCTTGGGGCCCTCTTGGAGGCTTCGTGGGCCCTCTTGGGGCGGTCTCGGAAGCCTCTTGGGCCATCTTGGAGCGCCGGTAAGCCGAAAAAGCGAGAACGTCAAAAACCGTCAGAAACTGAAGAGAAATCACGAACTTCTGCGTCAGGCAATCTTTGGCGGCTTGGATCGCTCTTGGACCGTCTCGGACCATATCGAGCTCTCTTGGAGGCCACTTGAAGCGCTCCTGGAGCGCTCTTGGGAGCCTGTTGGGATCTGGCCAGGACTTGCGGGTGTACTTTTCGTCCGGGGACTCAGGGGCGGCCCCGCGCGCGCGAACTAGAGTATTGTTAACCAGTTACTTGAGATCTTAGCACGCCATTGGCCCGTTGGGCTGGCGAAGTCCGAGAGTTTCTTGGAGTCTTTTCTGAGTGGTTTGGGAGTCTTTTGGCAGTTCCAGGGGCCTCGTGAGGTGTTGTGGGTGCTTCTGGGGAGCCTCGTGGGTGCGTCTTGGGGGCCTCTGAGGGGTCTTTTTGAAGCCCTCTGCGCACCTCTCGGGGCCGTCGTGAGGCACCCCCGCGAGCCTCGGGGGCCTTCTTGGGGCAATCTCGTACTGCCCTAGAGGACAGCAATTTCGAGCTGATCCGCGAGACAGAGAACACCGTCTTGCGCATCAGCAGCGAAGAGCAGGCGTACGTCGAGCCAGGCGCCCGGGACTCTCTGAGGCGATCCCGGGCGGAGTCGTCCAGGCTGTCCGCTTCCGCCAGCGCGGATGTTGCACCTTGGGAGGCACCATTGGTGGATTGCTTGACCTTCCAGTCTAGCCTCGAGGCGCGCGCGTGGATGGATCTCGCAGCCTCGGTGTACGCAGAGGGCGAGGCTGCGAGGAGGCTGCGCGGCAGGGTGGCCAGACATGCCGCTGCCACGGAGGCGAGCATCAGGTCTGAGCTCGGTCGGGCCAATACTTAAGTCGGGCATGTCTCTCTACAGGAGGAATGTTCAAAAATAGGCCAAAAGTAGTCTGGGGACGATTGTTTAACTATTTTTGGCTATTTGGGAGGAATGTTTGACTATTTTTATTTAATCACTTCGCATGCCGCTGGCCCTGGAGCCCTCTTTAGGGCCTCTTGGGGATCTTTTGGGGGTCTCTTGGGGCTCCTTGGCGGCGTCTTGGGGCCCCCAGGGCCTCTTGGGGGGCTCTTGGGGGCCTCTTGGGGCGGGAGGGGGGGTAGTCGATTGCTGCTCCCCCCTCGGAAGCCACGATCCTCGTGAGGGGTGTCGAAAAATGGCCCTCCCCTGGAGTGCTCTGGTGGCTTCTCCCGGGACCTTGCCGGGGTACTTTTCGTCCAGGGGCCCCCAGGGGCCGCTCCGCGCGCGCGAACTAGAAATATTGTTAACCAGTTACCAGAGATCTTAGCACGCCTCTGGCCCGTTGGGCCGGCGAATTTCTCGTCCAAAATCCGCCTGCAGGAGGGACATGCCCGACCTAAGCCAATACGTCTCTCATGGTCAAGTGCGAGCACGTCGCACAGTTCGCCGAGGGCCCGGCTCCCATGGACCCGCAGGCGGTGCAGGCGCGAGAGCACCTCCAGAAGGAGGGCGACGAAGTGGCGCGGCTGCTGAAAGTGCAGGCGAAGATGCAGATACCGGACGACTTCGTCGCCTCGGGCTCCATGGTGATTGTGAGTTGATGGTTGTTGGATGGTTCTCGACAGTACAGTGGGGGCACGCATCAACAAACCATATGCTTTTCGTCAGGGTATCCTTGGTTTCATCGCTCCGCGCGCTGCGCGATGACTTCTCGCAGCCTTTGGAGGCGCTGCTGCGTTCAGAGTGCTCCAGGTTTCCCCGCAGGTGCATCTCGCGCACGGGTTCTCAGGGTTGGGTTTCTTGCGAGGGTTCCTTGCGGCCGCGCCCGCACTGTAGCGGCATCGTGCGCGGGGAAGGGGCCATGGCCGATTTCTGTGCCAGTGCCGTGCGCATCATGACCTGGCGCTCCGGAATGTGTTTTTTTGCAGGCTCGCCTGCCGTTTTGCAAGTTTACAATTCGCCTATTGGCAGCTCGGAAGGGGGGGGGATCTGCGCCCAATTGTGAACCCTACCCCTGCGGGTCCAATCGGCGCTGGAGTGTGAGACACGCCCGTGGGGTTCATTTAGCTTCACACATCCGTTGAAGTCTGAACCCCGGCCAGCGTTTCAGGAATCCGACCTACAGGGAAAGGGTTTGCATGTGGTTACCCAGTTGAGGGATCCTGGTTGGGTACAGCATTTTGACAGCGTTCGGAGCCACAGGACGGACGGAGGAGTGCGAGGAAGAGACGGCTCCCGCGCGGCCGCGCGTTTCAGAAGCAGCGCAGCCTGTGCGGGCACGCTCGGCCGCCTGATGGCCACAGGGCCACCGATTTCCGTTGTTGCCGCGTGCTTCCGCGGTGGAGCCCCTAATTGGGAAGGCCTCCGAGCTCGTCTTTTGTCGTGCTGTCGCAATGGCGACGCGCTCCGCCTCAGAGCTCCAGGACGCGTTCACCTGTTCTTGCCGGCGACATCGAGGCAGGCCCCCGTCCCCATTTTTGGTCTCCCCGGGCTCTTGCCTGGAAGGTGTCCCGATCCGCCGTGCGACTGAGGAGTAGCAGCAGGAACAGCAGTCATATGTTTGCGAGGTGCCGCCAGGCCAGCATATTTCTTCCGTTCTGCATCTGGGAGTTCGATCATCTGTGCTGCCGCCTCATACGCCCCTGTCGACAGCAGCAGAATACAAAAAACATTGCGCAGTATCCCTGGCCTCCTCCACGATTGGGGGCGTGGTGCGATGATGGCCAGGCGATGACGAGGGAAGTCGGCAGAGGAGGCCCCATCTTTTATCCGGATAGACAACTCCCCGTCACGCATCGCTAGGGCGGGCTGGGCGTTTCGCCGACAGTCGTTCCGCAAATGGCCCAAATCTGGAGAACAAGCGCAGTTACATGGATGGAGGAAGGTTGTTCTCAAAATTTGGAGTTCGCCCTGGCGCCGCGCACATTCGCATTAAAGTTTCGAGAGTCACACTGATGGAGGGGGTGGTGTTGAAAGCGTGGTGCTCGATTTAGCGGCGCAGGCGCAAATGTGTCCAAATTTCAAGTTTCCGATAGTCGTACGGAATGAGAGCGGTTCTTTATCAAAGCGTGGTTCTTGCCCTTGAGTTGCGCACATCCGTCTTTAGTGTTGACATATTGATGGATAGAAGGTGGGTCTTTTCCAATGTATGGATCCCGCCTTAACGCCGCGCACATTATTCTAAGTTCGCCCACTTGTCACGCGGATGCATGGGGGAGTTTCAAGATGTTGGTCTCCCCTCACTACTGAACACATTCGTCGTAAAAGTTTCCAGCAGGTACCACGGGTGGAGGGCCGGTCGTTTTCATCTTATGATTTCCGTTTGACTTTTCCATCGCCCGTATCATCAGACATCCGAATGTGTACAACAGCTACACGGATGCAGAGCGGTCCGTCCTAAACCGGGGATATGTTTGAGACACTTTGACATAAGTTGTATGGCCAGACGGGGTTTACGGCTGCTTTTTCAAAGCGGGGTTTTCGCCAGGCGTTTTTTTTGGTGGTGGTCTTTCTTCGTCGCCGTCCGTACAGTGTAGCTAGAAGGATTGATGGTAGCCCTTTTCCAGAATTGGGTTCTCGCCCGAATTGTAGTACCATCGGGCGGTCGTGCTTCATGGCTGTACTTCCCGCATTTAAGACATAATTGTTGTAAGGGCTTGTGAGGAGGCGGAGGCTTGGGACGGGCATGCGTACGTTAGCATCGTTGAGGCATGTTTTGTTTATTTGGGTATGGTTCTTCCACCTCGTCATCTTCCTCCGCCTCTGCCTCTTGCTCTGTCTCCTCGTCTTCTTCCTTCCCTTTTTCCGCATCCCCTTCCTCACCGTAGCCACAATTAGACTTCCTCAATGGCGAGAGGGAGGATCAGGCGAGCAAGGTTGCCTTTCAGATCATGTAGGCGTAGCGGCGGAGAGTTCTTGGCAATTTTGCGGATCGCGGACTTAGCAAGGCGCCGCGAGTTTACGCCACAGTGGGGGTTGGAGGCGGCCTGGGTGAAGCGAAAGTCATTGCTCAGCTCTCTTGGCCCCCCGCCGATCGGCGCAGCGGGACCTGCACAAGGCTGACTTCGAACCTGAGCGTATGGAGGCAGGGCTCGCGGAAAACTTGAAGCATCTCGAGTTCGCCTTGATTGATCTTTACGTACACACACGCCAGCTCACCAGTGCTGAGTTGAGGTGGCAGCATTTTTGTCAGGCTTTCATGCTTTTGGTTAGTCGTGTAGTTTCCTGCCTTGTATGCTTGCCTCGTCTAACTATCGGGCCAGAGCGATGGCGAGGAGAAGAAACGGGGTGTCCGTCAATGTTCGCAAGTGGCTCCAGTGGCGAAGCCGCCTGGTGCAATGTGACATTGTCAATGAATGGAAGCTTGGCCATCGGACCCTTGAGTCATAATCGCCCGCGCATCTACTAATCCAGCAAACTCATGATGGACACAGTTTGCATATCAAGAAACCGCGTGAGGCCAGAGACGTGAGATCGAGCTTACGAGTCGTCAGTCCGGCGCGGAGGCTTCATCGGGGCGGCCCATGGTTGCAGAGATCTTTTGGAACACAACTAAAAGTTCGTGGTGCGCACCGAAACTGTAGATGGCTGGATGGACTTGGAGCGGCGAGTCAGCGATCCACTTTACGGGCCCATGGTTGAATTGACACGTATACGAATCATAGGAGTACAAATTTGAGCCTCGCCGAGGCCGTTTTGGACGCTCCAATTGCCCGCGGAACCCCGCGTCCACATCCTAGGTGGAGGAGGTAAGCCCCTCCCCGAAGGGGAAGGAGGGCTTGTGGAAGAGGAAAGACAGTTATCGTTAGACCACCTGCGCCCAGAGGGCTGGTGGGATTCACGCGCATACGAATCGTATGAGTACACATTTGAGCCTCGTAGACATCGTGCACGGCGGGCACGCGAGCTGGACACGCGGGCCGATGCAGAGTGCACTCGGGCGGTGCGCGGCTGGGCGGGCAGCGACGATTTCGGCATCCAGCGCGCTGCCAGGAATTTGTCTAAAGTCCGACTCTGTGCAGACGGTGTCTTTGACGGCGCATCTGGGGACTGTTTTTTTAGGGTCCGGCGATAGCCCGGGTAATCGGGCCTGCCCCCCCTCCCCCCCACACAGAATAACCTAACCTTGCCAGTTGTGCAGGTCTGGGGTGGGGGGGGCGCGGGCATATGCAGGGCTGCCCACAGCGCGAAGGTTAGATTATCGACCGGCCTTCTCCCCCCCCCCCCCGGGATCACCCGGGCGATCGCCGATTCAAAGAAAAGACGGTCTCCTGGCGCGTCAGGTTATGTTCATTGACGTATATTGCAGAATCTGGCGGGAAGTGGGAACCAGTCTCGTGTGGACGCAGGGGAGCCGCGTTGCCCGAGGCTGCGTACGTCTTTCAACTTGGAGCGACGCGGTCTGATGCGGGGACGCCTCGTTCGCTCCGGGTTTGGGCAGACCGCTGCAGTGATATTCGAACAGTTTCGCCAGCGTGGCTTTCAAGTATTGGTGGCAGTACTTGATGTCGGGGAGCGGGGGTTACGGAACCAGTCTAAGGGGCGTCGAGCTCTTTTTGTCGGAGATTGTTGTCGTCACCGTCGTCATTTCCCAACCACCCTCGCCACTGTCGTCATCCTTCCTTTTCTCTGTCCATATCTCTCTCTCTCACTCTCTCTCTCTCTTTCTTTTTTTTCTTGTATCCCTTGTATCCAGAACGTCCGTTACGGGGGGGTCCCCCGCCCGCAATGACGTCCATTGCGGCCCCCCCCCAGTAATGGTAACGAGCGTATGAAGGGGGGAGCCCCCCCGCAGGTATGGCGCCGTACTCAGACCCATGATGTGGTGTTGACAGCCATCGGAGGGCCTCCAGATGCCTCCAGAGGCGGCCGCCGTCGTCTTCGTGGTCGTCGTCGTCCTCGTGCTTGTCCTCGTCCTCGTTCTTGTTGTTCTAGTCGTCGTCGTCGTCGTCGTCGTCGTCTCGGAGTGCCTCGAAGCGTCTTCGGTCGCCTCCAGAGGCCTTGAGATCTCCCGAGGCCCCCGGAGACTCTTCTCCTGGGGACCCTCAGAGGCGGCCGTCGTCGCCGTCGTCGTCGTCGTCGTCGTCATCGTCGTCTGGTGCCTGGGCCCCCCCCCCGCGGGCCCGACGACGTTACCGTCCCCCCCCCCCACGGGGGCCCGCCCCGTTACGGGGGGAATGGCAAAATCATGTTTTTGTCCAACGCTCCTGCGTTTGGGTTCGCGTGTTGAATAGGGCACTGCGCGCGCATCTCACTCTCCTTCCCGCCCCCCTCCTCTCATCTCTCCTACCTGCCTCGTACCTCGCTCCCTCCTGCGTGCCAGCTTGCCTCCTATCATCCCTGCGGGGCTGTGATCTGCGAAACTGCCGCCACTGTCGAAGAATGTTGGGGGGTCCAGCGGAGTGTGGCACCACCCAGATTCAGATTAGACATCGACATCTCTGGGGGGCTGCGATCTGCGAAACTGCTGTCACTTCCGAGGGCTGCTGGGGGTTCAGCGGAGTGAGGCACCACCCAGAATCACATTAGACCTC